CGTGGGAGGGGGGGGGGTGTTAGGTTGGTGTTATTGTGTTTAACAACACTCACTGCACATGGCTTACCTGGGGAAAAAACAAAAAACAAAAAAAAAACAAAGTCAGTCACACAGATGTCTCCTTTGATGATTACGTCTGGGTAGCGTCCTGGCAAAGATACACACACAAACACACAGACACGAGCGCAAATAGTGTCTCTTGATCCTTGCAGGATAAGATCTTGCCTGGGGCAGTCTTGACTGCAGCCAGGAACCAAGCCAGAAGTCCTGCAGCACGTATCAGGAGAGAGGGAGCGAGGCAACGGATCCAGCTTGGGTGGGGGCGGGTGGGGGGGGTGGGGAGTACAAATGAATCGCGGGCGGAATTTTATGTACAACGTCGTCAATGACAAGGATACACACTTCCCTCTGCTTTTTTGTTTTTTTTTTTTTTTTTTTGGGGTTCCGTCAGAAGATGCGCTGCTGCACTACGGTGATTACTGGCCATTATTGTCAATTATTTGAACAATAAGGGCTTGAGTGTATGGTTTTGGAAAGCACTTACAGGTCATGCACTCCTTTTCACTCACTCAGTTACTTTTTTTTGTGTGTGTGTGTGTGTGTGTGTAATTTTTGGGGAGTGAGTGCAATAATTTGCTTCTTTTTTTTAAATTTTAAATCCCTCCTGGTTTAACCATTCCTGTGAAGTTTTTCAAAATTGTAATGAACCAATACTATAACTTGACACACACTCACCCGCACACACACGGGCAGCAGTTCCAAGAAGAGCAACAAGAGCGTCACCGCCGTCATCATTGTTGTTTCAGGTGCTCTGTCCTCCTCCTCCCGACGCTCCCGCGCCGGCCAGCCCAGGCTCAGCGGGGTGTCCCTTCCCCGGTTTCGTCACTTTTTTGGTGGTGTTGTTTTTTTTTTTTTTTTTCCTTTTCCATGTTTGCGCTGATGGTTATCTCTGCCCGCAGTCGCTGCTCCAGTGCCATCCAGCGGGAATCGGACGTCACACGGCGCTCAACATCCCCGAGTCGGTGTCTGAGGAAGCCCGCTCGCTGCTGGAACAGGTGGCCGTGCAAAACACGTGACAACGGAACGCACGTATAAAATGTTCTGTTTGAAACTCAAAACAAGCCGTTCGCTTATGTAGCGATAAGACATTTCATTTACAGGCGCCTTCCAGGAATTAGACACTATCTGTATTGCTGCGAACAAAAATTTTGTCGAGCAAATTAAGCGGCCTCATGGTACTGAATTATTAGAAACACCAAACGTTAGCTCATAAAATAAAAACTGGTCAGCTGGAAATCACATTAATTTGATTTAAATAAAAGGAATCGAGTCCTGTTGTGGAAATTATAGAATCAATGTTTTGTTTTTTTTTTTTGTGTGATTAACCCCACAAATAATGATAACCTACACCAAAGATTTTTTTTCTCAAGTGTTTTATTTATTAGTCTTTAGGCATGAAAAAGAAAAATAATGGGAGCGGATGGCGACACACATAAGGATCCATTGTAGTGGTTGATGCACACCGGTGACATTACGATTACCGTAATTTCCGAACTATAAGCCGCGACTTTTGTCACACGCTTTCAACTCTGCGGCTTATTTCATGAAGCGGCTTATATAAAGACTTTTCTAACGGCCGTCTTTCGGTGTACCGTCTTTCTTTGTAAATATCTCATGTTACAATATGGGCACCTGCGGCTTATACACAGGTGCGGCTTATGTGTGTACAAAATATTTTTTTCCTTTAAAAATGTAGTGGTGCGGCTTATAATCAGGTGCGGTCTATAGTCCAGAAATTACGGTAATTCATATCAGAGAAAAGAACATTTGAATAGTTGTCCACTCTAGTGACCGCTGTGCCGGAAAGAGTTAAACCCTTCCAGAAGACAAAAAACAGAATCGTACGAAAGCCAAAGCGCCAGTTCCCGTAGCAAATCCAAACACCCCAAATTATTGACAAACACCATATTTTATTGAGAATATTTATGAACACCTCCAGGCAACAACGAGAACTCTCCCTGTCTGCTGGGCAAAGCTCATCAAGTCAAGTATCCAGTACAACTTTATTGTCAAATGTGCTAACATACAGCACAGATGAAATTTCCTCCCTCTTAAACAGACAACAGACAACAAGAGGAGCCGCTGCGGGTGCCCGCGCCGCCATCAAAAGAACACTGAACATAAAATGACAAAATAATACAACACATAAGACAGACAGTCGTGCCATCTAACCACTTTTCCTCCATTCATTTTGTTGTTTGAAGCAGTAATAGATGAAAGTTGAGCGAATCAAAGTGTCCTTTTCACCAGTAGATCAAAGACGTCATGCTGAAAATGTGCACACGTCTGCTACAAGCTAAGCTTCAAAGCAACAAGAAGCTGTCGCATCCATTAACGAAAAAGAGATTGGCTCCTGTCCCATGTAAATCCGCTTCAATTCCAAGCCGCGACTCCCAGTTCCAAATCCGCATCGGCGCTCTGCGCTGACGCTCCTTTCTTCTCATCGTCGCCTCCTCAAGTCATGCATCCATCCAGCCATCTCATCTCGTCCAATCAAAAATCAAATCACATCAGTACCATGACACCGATTGACCACTTTCTATGGCCGTTATTTTCCCGAGCCGTAACGTTTGACAGCATTTTGCACCGGCGTTGCCCGCGTGACGGCCATATGTCGGAACGAAACACGCGGGATGAAGTTGACGCCATGAGAAATAAGGGCAGGATGAGCGAAAACGGAATCGACTGTATTAGCGTTGACGGTTTCCATTTCCTGTCTGCCAGTTGCTGCAATACAACCCCACAGAGAGGCTGGGCGCGGGAGTGGCCGGCGTCGACGATATCAAATCGCACCCCTTCTTTGCCAAAGTGGACTGGACCAAGTAGATGCCGCCCACACACCCCTTTCAGAGATGCATGCTTGGCAAACTGGCCATCACTGTTACACTCCAGGTGGACAAAATAGGCACAAAAAAAAATAAAAAAATCCATTCGTACATTAGATTCATGTCCAATTGCCAAACAGCAGTGTTACCTTCTCATGTACCGTTTACAATAATTTCTGGATGCTTCACTGATGATCCACTCCAACCTTGTTCGTTTGGCACTTGTGTTGTTGCTATGAACCATGATCAAAAAAAAAAAAAAAAAAAAAAAAAAGCAAGAGGCGATACTTGGCCACGCGTGTGCACTGACGTTTATCATATTGAGGCCAGAAACATTTCTTAGCATGCAGCCGTGCCCCAAACTAAACAAGATGATGCCCTTGTTGAAATACTTCTATTTTTTTTTTTTTAACACTCCCACTTGCAATATCAGGTGTTTTACTATGCAAGTTAATAAGCAAAACCTGGCCAAGTACACTAGTCGGGCATTATTTTAATAACGGACTGAAATTCTGGATCGGGATAAATAGTCAGCAGAAGAACAACTCCTTTTTATAGAACTACACTACACTAAATACTGAATCCATGTTGTCATGTAAGATAATAATCAGATTTTTGTGTAGACAGCACTTTCAAAGTCCTTCAAGTTTTACCTTGAAGAAACTGATCAATACGCTAATGACTCAACTTTAGAGCAAACGTTGCGGTGATGGGGGGGTCCTGTCATTCAGGCGCATGAAAGCCCAGCGCGGGATGCTGCGCTGCAACGTCCACGTTAACAATGTTTGATTTCCTCCTGTGTGTATCGTCCACGCGACACCGACTCGACCGCGATGCAAACAATAAACACACGTGAGCAACACGCTTGCTGTATTGCTTTCCTTTGAGCCACATCGCTCGAAAACGCCTCGCGGTATGACAGCGAGGGGGCGGCAGCGTATTCTCGCCTAGCGTCGCCGTGGTGACAGTACACACATGCGCGGTTTATTTATTTATTTTTTTTTAGGGGTCCATTAACCATTTCAAAAAAAAAAAATCAGATTCCAGCTCAGGGATGGGCAACTGGCGATATACATTTTCCATGAAAATGTGGAGAAATGCGGGTGTGTGTGTGTGTGTGTGTGTGTGTGTGTGTGTGTGTGTGTGTGTGTGTGTGTGTGTGTGTGTGTGTGTGTGTGTTGGGTCGGTGGGTCCAAAATATGAAAACAATTTGAAAAAAAACGATCCGCAAAGTATACGAACCCGCGGGTGCCAGACCGCGAATATGCAGGGGTCAAGTGTAGTTTTAAGTTGTAAGATCACCAATCACCACTGGATGGCAGACATGTCTTTGCTGCGCTTCCACCAGTTCTTATACTTCCTGACACAACAACACTAGTAGGCCAAATCTTTATTTATTTTCTTTTGTGGATTCGGAATGATATTCCAGGACAAACATTATTGTTCAATAATCTTTTTGAGTGAGTTTTGGTTTTGTGAATGAATATACCAAAATAAGTGCACTTAAAGTTGGTTTCTTATTCAGCATTTTTGTGCCGTCGTTAAATGGTCATTTTTCTGCAAGTGAGCCCTTTGCACTGAATTACAAAAAAAAAATAAAATAAGAGGATCTGGTTATTTTGTTTCAAACCCTTCTTTCGTTCGGATCTTTTACACATGCTGAAAATGTATTCGAAATATATTTATCCATATTTAAAATAGCTTTTTTTGTCATACATTTGTTTCGGAAGCGCGTCGTTTAAAGGAAAACCAACTAAGTTCATGTCACAGGTCATGTTTTAATGACGCATACATGTGTTTTATTATGTGAGTACAACAGAAGATGATTTTCCAATCGCGTTCAATAAATACAGTCGCTTGAATATCAATAACGTGACTTCACTTGATATTGAATCACACACAAGATAGATTTGGGAGCTCATTCAGGTTTCAGCCAATGAAGTGGCTCCCTAATGAGGAATTAATATACTGTAGGTCCCCCTTGGGTGTAGTTGCTGCGAAATGTAAGAGCAATAATAAGAATAATTTGATTTCTACACAGTAAGCCATCAGACTTAACAGACTGCATGAACTGAACATGAACCCTCTCGCTCAATGCTTCTGTCACCCGCAATGACATATTCATACACACGCACAGGTCAGGGAAGTTGTTATGGTGGCAGGTGGAGTGGCGGGGGGGCGGGGGGTAGGGACACCTTGCCTTCCCTTGTGTCCACCTCATTGGCAGCGGGGTCAAGAGTCTGCGGCGATTAGCGCTCGTCATAAGGCCCCGTCTCTCATTACCGCGCGCGCTCGGGGTGAGAGGTTCCCTTCGGTGCCGAGGAGAAGCCTGTCAATCTTGCTCTCCGGCACCGACGTGAGGTGCGTCTCGGCTGGATTCGCAGCCTCCGCCGAGTCCTCCTCTGATGTGTGTTTGATACCGGCGCGCGTTTAGCTTTTCACCCGTCGCCGCGTTAGGTAACGCCTGTGCGGTCTCGGGAGATGAATCCTAAATTTGAGACTCCCACAAAGAGAATGTCATGCGTTCTCAAAAACATCCGAGAAATTTTTAAAACAGCAGCACCTATCACGGTATCTAAACAGTCGGCCAGGTCAAGTGTGAAGTTGTCAATTTTTAATTTGAATACAGCGGTACCTCTACTTATGAAATTAATTGGTTCTGGAAGAAATTCCTTAACTCGAAAATTTTGTAAGTCGAGACGCCTTTTCCATGTAAATGCCCTAATCCGTTCCAATCCCCTCCAAAATTCAGACCTAAATGTTTTCTAAAGCATAAAAATGCATCAAAATATGTAACAAATACATGTCACATTTAGATTATTGCACAATAAATGAATGTTGTGCATAATGTAAAAAAACAAAGAATTGAGTAAAGAATAAAAATGATTTTCATTTAACTTTTAACTGCATCTTCATCGAATTTTTGGCCCTCTTTAGTTCACGTTCTCTCTCAGAAGTGGTTTTTGACTGGTGCTTTGTAAAGAACTGATCCAAGGACGTTGGCTTTCATCGGCTTTTAACAATCCTTCGAAAACGTCCAAGGCAGACATCAGCCGAGTGAGCGATCGCCCGACTGGTGAAAACTTTTTCTACGTGATTGACATTTACGTAACACTACCAGAACGCCTCACGGCCCGAGGGGCGAATGACGAGGACGCTGTATAGACACATATCTCTCTATCTACACATATAGACACGAACGGTAGAGGTCCCTCTTAGCCAATGGGATGCCAGGATGATACTAGGTAATAGCCAATGGCAGAGCAGCTACAAGTATGTTGCATTCAGGAAACTCAGAACTCCGAGTAGCAGCCCAAACTGTATTTTTACCTTTCGTATCTTGACATTTCTTTCGTCACATTTTCCTGTTGAGGTGTTTTGAAACTTGAACATTTCGTATGAAGAGACGTTCGTAAGTCGAGGTACCACCGTCCATTGTTCTATTTTTCAAAATTCAAGATTTTTTTTTCCCCACAAGTCCAAAACTTTTGACCCCAATGCTGTGGCTTGTATACTTTTTCCCCCCGTCCCCCTCAGAATTCACATTCACTGATTCGACCGTTGCTCACTTTTTGCTGTTTTGACAATTGTAGGCTGCAGTGAGCCAAGGTGCACACGCGCGTGTTTGTGCGAGTGTCTTTGCCGCCGGGAAGGCTCCGTCTGCTCACAGGCAAGACGGAGAGGACACGCCAAGGACTCCCATGATGCAACACTTCCCACGGTGAGCCCTCAGAGCGTCTCTCCCCTGGAGCTTGCGGGCCGAGTTGACCCCCTCACATATTCCTCCAACTTCCTGGACCGCTCTACCCCCCCCTCGCCCCTCCCCATCCTCCCCCAACCCCACTCTGTTGTCTTTTCCCACCCGGCTCTCCTCTTCTAATCACACACATGCACGCATTACTTTAGCACACAGGCAGCAGCCAAATGGCCTGCCCTCTGTTTCATATTGCTTGTGGTCAAGTTTTGTTTTTGTCTTTGACGCTTTGACTTTAGAGCTCACAAAGCCCAGGAGGACTCCTGTAGCCCAGGCAGACACACACACACACACACACACATGCACCCACACACTCCTGCGCCAAGCTGAAAAGTTCCGCTCGGAGAATCCTCGGGCATCTTCTCCAGCTTCTGTCAGAGCCATGATGTCATTATAAAGAGACACAATGCCTCTTCATTACACTCGCAACTCTCTACACGCATAACCTTGCTACTTGCTTACGCACACGCATTCGACACGACAGCGTAAACAGAATTTCTCCATGCAGGTAAGCACTGCAGTGCTTTTTAAATTTTTTTTTTTTTTACTGTGATGACTGAAACATGGGGCTCTGCTTTCTGTCCAATCAGGGCTTGGGCGACACGGTGTCGCATGTGGATTGTACGTTTGCTTCACAGTCCAGAGCGTCCGGCCTTGAAACTTTGTTCTTTCGGCAAAAGTTAAGGTATGCTATGATGATTTATTATTTTTCTTTTTTAAATACACATATGACATTTAACGAGGATAAAATGTGCCTTAGGCGGCTACTTAGTCGCGCCGTGGAACTTGAATCTATTTCCAGTTTCTCATCTGGGGTCAATTGGGTTCCATGCACTTAAAACTCATTCGGTACCAGCCAATTCTAGACCAAGTCTGAAAAGACGTTGAAAAACGTCTTTGGGAGTGAATGAGTTAAGTACTGAAGGGTTCCATGATGGCATATTTTCAGCTCCCCATAATCTAAGCTGTCTAATTTTTTTTTTTCCTTTTATCTCCTGGGGGAAATTTTCATTATCGGCCAAAGAGGATTTTTGGAGGAGAGGGGGGGAGAGCTGTTGTAGTGTCATGCGAACCAACAACTGCCACCATTTCGATGCGCAACAGTTGAATTTATGTTTAAAAAAAAAAAAGTTGTCACCGTGACATTTCAATAATATCTCACAAATGTGATTTGTTCATTCAAGAAGACAGAAGTACAGTCGCCAGGGACGTAGCGTGACTTAATATCCCATAAACTGAACTTCAAGTCAGATTACCCAAGGTGCCTTGCTCCGTGAAGGGCCCCTTCTGCTACCCCCACCCCGTACACCTCGACTGGAAATGTCCGTTATGGTTTCTGCTCTGAGCGTTGTTCTACCTCA